ATTCCAAACCAGCGGTTTGTGCAAACCGCACGCCTTTACTACACTCACAAGCAGCCCTGCTACGTGCGAGCACAGCCCGCGATGAGTGCAAGTGAGATGCATATAACCGTGCTGTCGCACGAACGAGTGGAACATGTTGGATGCGAGATACTTTGGCAATTGAACAATCTCGAATTGGTCGGCCATTAATGTGCGGAAGAACGTAAATTTTTTCATTCGTATTTTGAACGTTTAAAAGGGAAGTTGTGTTTTCTCCGTTTCGTAGTGATTTTTACACACACACACTAATGTGTACATTTATATGTGTGCGTGTGTGTATCTAATATTTTTTTATAATTGGCGCGTAGCAATGGAAGAGAAAATCTTAAATTACATTAGAAATTACAAAAGCGCCAAGTGACTAACTAAAGGAAATTGCAGTACCTACATACATACATACATACATACATAGTAAACGTTAAAGAACAAAGAAGTCGCGACAGAAAAATTGCATTGAGTACAGTGTAAGCGCAAAATAAAATGTATAATTAAAATACAAAAAATATGTACAAAGTGAGAATTTTCCACCACGACCATTGAAAAACGCCAAAGTACGTCCATATTACATACTACATACATATGTATGTACATATCTACATACTAGCATCAAGTGACAAAGCTTAATATACTTCAATAGAAAAAAATCAATAAAAGAAAAACGAGGAAAGTAAGAAAATTTTTCAAAAAATCACATACAGTGAAAATACATTTACATATACGTACATATACGTGTAATAATAAGCGCATTACATGCATGCTTTATCAACGTAATATCGAAAGAGAAAAAATCGCATACAAATCCATAGTCGAAATGGCACCCTGCCAAGTGCATCCAGTTATAATTCATACGAGCAGCAGTGCCGTCAGCGCTAGAACTGCTCCGGTGCGTCCCACTGGCAGTGTGCGCCGAAATCTCTTCGGTCAGCCGGATCAACGCGAAATGGTGCGCACTTTCGACAATGAAAATGCACGTCAACGCAAACGTTTGGATAATTACAAAATTATTGAACCCATAGCGCAAAGCAAAGAAATCAACACCAATAAGGAGACGGAGCCTAGCAATGAATCTTTCCCTGGTTTGATCGCCAAGGAGTTGGAGGCACACGAAAAGGAAACGCAAAAACAAAATTTAAAACAAAAGAGTAGTGGCGAAGCGTCGTCGTCGTCGTCGTCGTCGTCGTCGCTGAGTCAACGCCAGGAGCAGATTGAGATGACACCAACATTGTCGACAAAGGCTAAATTAAGAACGCTCCACACTAACAGTCGCGCCAACAGCGATGCGGCCACCGAAGATACGCGCTACAGGCCTTACATCAAACAGAC